CCCTCCAAACCCCTTTTTTTCCTCAACCAAAATATAATCCGCGTCTGCTCGGCTTGACATCCTCAAGCAGACGACACAGTAAAGCTATGCCCATTCGACTTAATCACATTCACGATTATAGCGCTATTCACAGTTATTGGATGCGTGGCAAAGCCATACGAATGCTAGGTGATACCTTTTAAAGACATTTTTTTTAAACGGAAAATTGATTTTCGTTTAATTTTTCTCACAGTGTAGTACTATTTGATCTAGATCTAGATCCAGAGTTTATTCTATCAAAATATCATTGAGGTACATACTGTGGTTTACCTGACAGAGTGATAAGGGGAACCAACAAGAGTTATAAAACATGGCTCTCAGAAAAAAAGAAAAACGACCACAAAAAAAACCCCTATTCGAATGGCATGAATAGTGACCCATACTTCGAAGCGTCGATGAAGTTATTTCCTCAAAATTGCACAGAAACAAAAACAGTCGCAAACTTTGCTCTTTCTACCCCCCCCCTCTCTCTCTCTGTCTCTGTCTCTCTCTCTCTCCCTCCCTCTCTCTCTGAGTTTTTCTCTATCTCCCTGTCTCTTACCCCCCTCCCCCACTCAACTCTCTCGTCCGTCCGCCGGCGTGTCTGTACCACCCCATCACCACGAAATAACCCCCATCCACTCATCCAGGCAATGTTCAGCAGACACAGTATCACACTCTTCTTTTTCTCACTCTCCAACAAGTCTGCTCGTCGTTCAGTCCGTCCGTGCGACCACGTGTCAGTTTCCCACTCCTCATCCCCAACAACAACAACAACAACACAACAACAACAACAACAACAACACAACAACAATAGCAACAACGGAATAACACCCGTCCACTCACCCTAGCAATCTCCAGCAGACAGAGTATCACGCTCTTCTCATTCTTCCTCAGCACCAGGTCATCAGTCTCAAAGCTGAGCACGTCCGGGATGCCCATGTTGCGGCTCCAAGAGATGAAGTTGGACACATTATCTCGAGCCTGCAAAATACACAAAGTGGTGGTTACGACTCTAACGTGTCCATCATCATCATCATCATCATCATCATCATCATCATCATCATCATCATCATCATCATCATCATCATCATCATCATCATCGTTTAAAAAGCGGAGTAGGTAGGGAGAGTCTTGCTTAATTTACTGACAAATAAAATATAAACGTATAATGTTTAAAATTGTTTTATCGAATCGGCTCGATGTTTCGTCACGCAAGACTTCCTCAGGATAATAAAATAATCATTCAGGGCAGGTTAACCTGTGAAAGCTGCGGTTGTAGCAAAATCAGCGGCAAAGTTACTCGTTTCATAATCTGTTTTTAGTTGTTGTTGGTCCCTTTTTGTTTGAAAGGCGTGAGTTTCCACTGTAACAATGTGTATCAACCCTAACTAATGTATCCAACAAGGACACATCTTGCTAAAAACGTTAATCTTTTCATCTGTGAAATCTTAATCTAAAATCTTAATCCTAATCTTAATTTATTTTCTCAAAACTGAAATCTTATCAATTTTGACCTTTAACATGCTCTAATTAATTCTGTTTATCAACCGGTCTGCACCACACTATCACCTTTTCTGTTGAACGTGGTAACTGAATACATGTTATAGTAGTATTCAAGTTTAAGAAAGTATGACAAACTGGACAAGAATTACATTCATCATATCCATATCTTGCTCTCAGCCACTCTGCACAGTAAGATTTTTTTTATTTTCGAGAAGATGTTAGCAATATTTTTGTTGTTTACTTCTGAATGAAAATGGAAGTTTTTAAAAGGCAATTAA